CTGTTCACCTGTACTTAGCCCGATAGGGCATGAATGTACAATAAAGGTTATTATTATTATTATATACAGTGTGATATGAATCAGTAATTACCTCGCGATAGCCTCCACCATGTGTGCATTGATGACCTTGTCATTCGCCATCCGCGACGTGACTTTACCAGGCACCTTCATGTTGTCCACAATGGTAGTCCGGTAGGTCCGCAGCATTTCTTGGTGAACCCGACTCATTGGTGTTAAATCTGCGATGTGGATTTATATGTAAATAAAGGTGGTTGTTTTTCTTTATCACTACAATCACTGGGTCACACTGTAGCAAACCATACACGTTAGCTACTTTCAGCGCTTATATTATTATCGGTTATTGGATCCCAGATATGCCTGTGTTTTTGGAAGTGAACATGTAGTGAAACAAGTTGTACAACACGCACTCACTTGAGAGCACTTGTCCTTTTCCCAGTGCCTTTTCTTTTTCTTCCCGGCGCACCATCCTTTGCAACAGCAACAGAAGATAAGCTGAAGAACAGGAAAAAGTTACAACCCACATCGAACATGACGATAAGTAGAAATAATGCTCGTAATACTGCAAAATTTCTCCCCACCCCCATCTCCAACCTATTGATTATACCAAGGAGCTTTCAATTGATTATACGTACATAGCCCCTATTTTATGATTTGTGAAACTTGTGTAAAATGCATCCAAATCTGCAGGTGATGTTCAGCCGATGACATATTTTGTTTCATACTGAAAACCGAAACATCAATTCCAAAATGAAATCATCGATGTTTTACTTCAGCAAGCTATGCTATGATAGCTTTTTAAAATCATATTCATCACAACTAGTTGTCATTAATTGTGTAACGTGTGCGTGTGTGTGTAAAAGAGCGTTACACATAGGAACCGTACCAGTAGCAGTAGGGGGATCAACAGCAACAGCAGTGGCAGTAACCACACGACCAGTGGGACTCCGCCACCCCCTGTTGCGCGGCCAGTGTCTACAGGTCCTATCTTGCCGTTGACAAGTGGGTCGCTGTACGGGCCATATATGCCGTCCACAGTCTTGGCTCGCACCTAGTCGTAATGTAAAATGTGTTTACATTTAAAACATTGAAATAAAATACTAGACTATATTGGAGTCTACATTTAAACTTGCATTGCAGCACTCGCTAAATCATACCGATTGTCCTACACGATGACTTTGAGACACTCAAACCATTTTAACAATTCCTGAGATTCAGCATTGTAAAAAGTGTCATTGATGTCAGCTTCAGAGATACATGATGACATTCCTATCATTTTCAGATATTGCGTAGGAAATACTATAATTATGGAAAATGTTATAATTTTGACTTGCCCTGTATGTGGAGATATCCGGGTTTGAGTTGAGAACGGTTGCTTGTGTTGGGTTTTTCCCCACATCCATGTACTGCACGTTATCAGGGTTGTCTGTCGGGTAGTACTGTATCTGGTACCCGGTAAGCTCTGCTTTCGTCGGCGGCTCTGACCAGGACAGCGTTGCGGAGTTGTCCCCCTTTTCTACAAGTTTGAGGTTCGACACTTTGCCTGGTGCTGCGGAAGGCAACATGATTTTTTTCATATTAACACATATCATCTTTAAATTTTCCACCCGTAAAGCTTCGGTCACAACCCGCCGTGCGTGCTTTTTGTCCGTACGTTTTTTGGGAGGCTACGTCTGCTACGTTTTTTCTGAAAACGTGGGGAAGGAGTGGCCTCGACGCACGTCACTCGCACGGTTTCGCAAGGTGTAAGAGTGTGGTCTGCACGCCACGTCTGGCCGTGAGCGGTTGCGTGCATCGTACGTTGCGCAAGTGGTAAGTGAGTTGTGCGTGCTTACAACGTACGATCTCTGTGTGATTGCAACTTTACCGTGAGGAGGCCGTACTCACACGTGCGTCTTCCGTACGGCACATACGGGGCACGCGCGTCGCCCGTACTCGCACGCACGGGTGGTGAATCCGTACACCGCACGTAGAAAAAGTTTACATGCACTTAAAGTTCTACGGCGTGTCTGCGTGCTCCCAACTCCGTAGGATTCCGTACGGAGGTGGTACTCACCACGCACGGATGCCCTGCGTTTGCCCACTTTTATGCACGTAGACAGCACGCAGAAGCACGTGCGGCGGGTTGTGACCGAAGCTTAAGCAAGGAAGTAGCAACATCGGATTGCAATACCCCTTATATTTACAGATACAGTTATGGATCATGGAGGGTTGTCATATGTTGATATGTTGGAAAATACTATATGAGAAATTATCATGACAGAGGTCATGTTTCCTGTAAATTCTCAAGACTTTAGAGGTCCGAATTCGAATGGACTTAGAGCTCTGGACTCCCCTGGAATACGAGCTCCATAGGGACTGGTGTTTGTTGATGACACGTACCTCCGACT